GGGGGGGGGGGCGGGGGGTAGTTGGGTTTGTGCTGCATGTTAACCCAGAAACCGCAGCCCCTCCTTTTACATTGCAAACCCATTTTAAATGGCCAAGCCAACGGGTGCTTGGTATGGGAAATGAGGGCGCTACTGTTTGAAACCATTCCCACATGTTAAGAAGGTTAAAAAAGCCAAAAGACTGTGCCTTACCATGGCTGCCTGCAAGCCAAATTCTGTTGCCTGGCACTGCGTGAGTGATCTCTCACACCAAACCAGCAGGCCCTCAATATAAGAGGAAAAATGTGACCTTGTAACGAAAGCACATGTGCTGTGTAATGTGAACAGCAAAATTTAACGTGAAAGAGTGTACCCATTGTTCTCTAAAATGGGTCTTTTTTAAACCACCTCTCCCTTCTCCTCCACCAGCTGCAAATGTTTCTCCTTCGCAGAGGCTAGTGAAGATTAGAAGGAGAAAACGGCGGACTCGGGATGATATGTTCTCGGAGCTCCAGATGTCCTCCCACGCTGACAGAGCACAGCAGAATGCGTGGAGGCAGTCAATGTCAGAGTGCAAAAAAGCACAATATGAACAAGAGGAGAGGTGGCGGGCTGAAGAGAGCAAGTGGCGGGCTGAAAAGGATAGGTGGCGTCAGCTTGCTGACAGAAGGCAAGAGTCGATGCTCCGGCTGCTGGAGCATCAAACTGAAATGCTCCAGCGTATGGTTGAGCTGCAGGAAAGGCAGCAGGAGCAGAGACCGCCGCTACAGCCCCGTGTAACCAACAGCCCTCCTCCCCAAGTTCCATAGCCTCTCACCCAGACGCCCAAGAACACGGTGGGGGGGCCTCCGGCCACCCAGCCACTCCACCCCAGATGATTGCCCAAGCATCAGAAGGCTGGCCTTCAATAAGAGTTAAAGTTTTAAAGTTTTAAACTGCAGTGTGTCCTTGTCCTTCCCTCCTCCCCCACACCTCCCAGGCTACCTTGGCAGTTATCCCCCTAGTTGTGTGACAAATTAATAAAGAATGCATGAATGTGAAGTAACAATGACTCTATTGCCTCTGCAAGCGGTGCTCGAAGGGGGGAGGGGAGGGTGGTTAGCTTACAGGAAAGTAGAGTGAACGGGGGGGGGGGGGAGGGTTCATCAAGGAGAAACAAACAGAAGTTTCACACCGTAGCCTGGCCAGTCACAAAACTCGTTTTCAAAGTTTCTCTGATGCGCACCGCGCCCTGCTGTACTCTTCTAACCGCCCTGGTGTCTGACTGCGTGTAATCAGCGGCCAGGCGATTTGCCTCAACCTCCCACCCCGCCATAAATGTCTCCCCCTTACTCTCACAGATATTGTGGAGCGCACAGCAAGCAGCAATAACAATTGGAATATTGGCTTCGCTGAGGTCTATCCGAGTCAGTAAACTGCGCCAGCACGCTTTTAAACATCCAAATGCACATTCCACCACCATTCGGCACTTGCTCAGCCTATAGTTGAACAGATCCTGACTCCTGTCCAGGCTGCCTGTGTACGGCTTCATGAGCCATGGCATTAAGGGGTAGGCTGGGTCCCCAAGGATAACGATAGGCATTTCAACATCCCCAACGGTTATTTTCTGGTCCGGGAAGAAAGTCCCTTTCTCCAGCTTTTGAAACAGACCAGAGTTCCTGAAGACGCGAGCATCATGTACCTTTCCCGACCATCCCACGTTGATGTTAGTGAAACATCCCTTGTGATCCACCAGGGCTTGCAGCAGCATTGAAAAGTACCCCTTGCGGTTTATGTACTTGGTGCTCCGGTGACAAGATAGGGATATGGGTTCCGTCTATCGCCCCACCACAGTTTGGGAATCCCATTGCAGCAAAGCCATCCACTATGACTTGCACGTTTCCCAGAGTCACTAACCTTGATATCAGCAGGTCTTTGATTGTGTTGGCTACTTGGATCACAGCAGCCCCCACAGTAGATTTGCCCACTCCAAATTGATTCCCGACTGACCGGTAGCTGTCTGGCGTTGCAAGCTTCCACAGGGCTATCGTCACTCGCTTCTCAACTGTGAGGGCTGCTCTCATCTTGGTATTCTGACGCTTCAGGGCAGGGGAAAGCAAGTCACAAAGTTCCATGAAAGTGCCCTTACGCATGCGAAAGTTTCACAGCCACTGGGAATCGTCCCACACCTGCAACACGATGCGGTCCCACCAGTCTGTGCTTGTTTCCCGGGTCCAGAATTGGCGTTCCACGCCATGAACCTCCCCCAGTAACACCATGATTTGCACACTGCTGGGGCCTGTACTTTGTGAGAGGTCTATGTCCATGTCAATTTCCTCATCACTCTCGTCGCCGCGATGCAATCACTGCAATCGCCTCCTCGCCTGGTTTTGCTTTGGCATGTTTTGGCTCTGCATATACTCCAGGACAATGCGCGTGGTGTTCATAGTGCTCATAATTGCCGTGGTGATCTGAGCGGGCTCCATGATCCCAGTGCTATGGCGTCTGGGCTGAAAAAAAGGCGCGAAACTATTGTCTGACGGAGGGAGGGGCGAGTGACGACATGGCTTACAGGTACAGGGAATTAAAATCAACAAAGGTGGCTGTGCATCAGGGAGAAACACAAACAACTGTCACACAGAATGGCCCCCCCAAAGATTGATCTCAAAACCCTGGGTTTAGCAGGCCGTTGATTTCATGGAGGGAGGGGGAAGCAAATGAATACAGAACAAATCTGGTCCATCTATTTTTTACATCTTAAGCTGGCAGCAGACGGTGCAGCATGACTGATAGCCATCGGCATCTTCTGGGTGCTTGGCAGAAAATGATGTACTACGACTGCTAGCCATCATCGTCAAGACGGTTCAATAGGCCAGGAGACAAAACATGTCTGCCCAGGTGCCTCTGATTGAACTCACTGAGGAATACGACGATGACGGATACCAGTCGTAATACACCATCCACTGACAAAAGGCAAGGAGCTGCTGCTGTGTAGCAATGCAGCCCCACGTCTGCCAGCACCCAGATAGCCGACGACGGCTACCAGTCATACTGCACCGTCTACTGCCAAAAGGCAATTAGCTGCTGCTGTGTAGCAATGCAGTACCACGTCTGCCGGCACCCAGATGACATATGGTGACGCTGAGCTGAGCTAAGCAGGCTCCATGCTTGCCGTTGTATGTTGTCTGCACAGGTAACCCAGGTAAAAAGGCGCGAATCGATTGTCTGCCGTTGCTCTGATGGAGGGGGAGGGGCCTGACGACATGTACCCGGAACCCCCCGCGACACTGTTTTTGCATCATCAGGCATTGGGAGCTCAACCCAGAATTCCAATGGGCGGCGGAGACTGCGGGAACTGTGGGATAGCTACCCACAGTGCAACGCTCCGCAAGTTGACGCTAGCCTCGGTACTGTGGACGCAGTCCGCCGACTTAATGTACTTAGAGCATTTTATGTGGGGACACACACAATCAACTGTATAAAACCGATTTCTATAAAACCAGCTTCTATAAATTCGACCTAATTTCATAGTGTAGACGTACCCTCAGTTAAGATCACTCACCTTTGCCTATTTTTGAACAGTTTAGGTTACCCATGATAAACCACACAGGACTCACCTACCCTTAAATGAAATTCCCGTGCCCATATATAAACTGTTTTAGTTATGTATGATACACTAAAAGAGGACTCAAATACTAGTTTTGAAAATATCTCTTTGGTATTGACTTATCTAGAGAAGAATGCCCCCACCAAAAACCGGCCCACTCTCTAAGGCATAATCTCTGTTAAAAGCTCTTCATGGAAAGATAGATAAAAGAGACTGTAACTGAAGTCACCATGGTTTATTGTGTTTTTTTTTTTTTTTTTTTTTTTTAAACAGGTAAAGTTAGTAATTTGATGGTTTTGTTTTTAATCATGGTGTCTCATAAGACATGGTGAAGACTCCCTTGTGACTAAAACAGTGGAAGTCACATCCCTAAATTGGCACTCAGAAACAATTAAGATCTGGCCTACACTTTCTCATCTCTCTAGAGAAACTTTTAGTAATTTTTGGTACATATTAAAATTACTTGGCCTAACAACTTGGCAGCCCTTTCTACCCCAGAACTATAAAAAGATTATTTTGTTTTTTTAAAATCATGCATCAAGCTATTTAGTTTAAATCTCTTATATCTGTAATTTAAGTAGAAAGCTCACCTCATCAGAAGAGAGCAAATAAATAGGAGTTAGTGAAGGAACTTCACTTAATTCACAACTCAGTCCAAGTAATGTCAGGATCTCCTTAAGAACTTCATATCTCTTGGCGTTGCTCATTTTGAGTAAATTAAAATCTTCTTGGGTTTGTGTAGTCAGAGAGGCGATATCCATTTCCAAGTATATCTGGGGAGATGGGAAAAGAAAAAGAAAGGAGTCACTAATACGAAAGACAGCAGCTGAGGTAGATAAAAGCAAAGCAGACCTAAAAATGGCTTGGTGTCTATTCACTTACTAGTAGCTGAATTTAGTACAAGAGCCGTGTAAAATTCAGTGTGACTTGTGCGTTAGAAGTAAGGTTATATTTTATATGATGAAGAAACAAGACATATTAATGAATAGGGCTTTGACATCTTAAAAGCCTGTCAAGCAGATACAAATCCAAGGTGTAGCAAATATTAGTACAGACCAATGAATCCTTAACTTCCAAGGAGGAGCCTAAAGCTATTGGTAAAATACAGTTCTTCTCTTAGAAGTGTGTAAAAATGCCCCTTTCTTAATCAGTTGGTCTGTCTCCCGCATGTATTTGGAGACCATATCTACTTACTGTCTAAAAGAAGTTTTTGCTACTTTTTTCTTCTGTTAGCACTGTATAGACAAGGCTGCTCTGGATTCCATTCTGGCTCGTGAACCAGTGGAATTCAGTTCTGATTGCAGAATTTTTGTTGGTAGTGATGCACAAAGTAGAAAGAACCCAGCCTGACTAATTCCAAGATGAATCACAGCATTGAAATTAGAAAAACATTTTTTATTTTTGAACTGCACTGATTATATCTGGAACACTAACACAGAAAACTACAAGGCCATTTTATACAGAATCACTTTTCAAAGTAGAGGTGAACTTTGGGGGCTTGTCTACACCAGTGGTTCTCAAACTTTTGTACTGGTGACCCCTTTCACACAGCGAGCCTCTGAGTGCGACCCCCCTTATAAATTAAACACACTTTTTTATATATTTAACATCATTATAAATGCTGGAGGCAAAGCGGGGTTTGGGGTGGAGGCTGACAGCTCACGACCCCGCACATAATAACCTCACGACCCCTTGAGGGGTCCCGACCCCCAGTTTGAGAACCCCTGGTCTACACAATCAGCAAGCCAAGCTGCAACTATACAGCACTCCAGCGTGCTGCTCACTAATTGGCCATGTGGACCCTGCTACCACACGCTAAAAGTTCTGTGTGTAGTGCACTTTGGAAATACTATTTAGCAGTAAAGTAACTCCCCACTTACCATCCTCTCGCTTAATGTTGTTTCGATGTTACGTCCCTGCTCCATTACAGAACATGCTCGTTTAAAGTTGTGCAATGCTCCCCTATAACGTCGTTTGGCCGCCTGCTCTGTGTCCATGGATGGCAGCCCCCCATCAGTTCCCCTACGCCCCCACCCCCAGCGCCTCCCGCCCGCCGGCGGACCCCGTGAACCGCGTCCTCGCTCCTCCCCCCAGCCTCCTGAATGCCGCAAGACAGCGGATTGCCGCAGGCAGGAGGTGGGGGGAGCAGGGGGAAGGCGCTGATCTGCAGGGTCCGCCGGTGAGCGGGAGGCGCTGGGGGGGGAGGAGGTGCGCATAGGAGAGCTGATAGAGGGCTGCCAGCCTGTTTAATACCTGTATTAAATTGCTTGTTTAAAATTGTTTAAAATTTATATAATGTCTTTTGTCTGGCAAAAAAAAAAAATTTCCCTGGAACCTAACCCCCCCTTATTTACATTAATTCTTATGGGGAAATTGGATTCGCTTAACGTCGTTTCGCTTAAAATCGCATTTTTCAGGAACAACTACAATGTTAAGCAAGGAGTTACTGTACTTCAAAGAGCAATAAATCAAAGCTAATCACAAAACTTTTAGTGCACGGTAGCAGGATCCACAGAGATTTAGTACGTGGCAAACTAGAGTGTTGTATATTCACATCCTGCCTTCCTGAGAACTAACTCTCCATGTGTACAAGCCCTAAGAAGCAGAGCTGAAACGCAGAGTCCAACCTAGCCGTCCTAAAATTATATATTGTATCTCACAGAAGTTCTAAGATGTTAAATTTAGTAGAATACAAAATGTACAATTGTTTTATTCTACTATATGCAAATACACTTAAATGAAAGTGGCATAAAAATTACTTGTTCTGTGCTTTCATACATTTTTGCACATTTTATTTTCTCTATCTATAGTATGCATTATCCACTCTTCTATAATTCAGCCACACAAATTTATTGAATTAAAGAGGGAATGTTATGAAACTAGACCAGTGCAGAAGAGGGAAATAACTATCCTGTGACTTTGAATATTTACTGGCTGATGTCACTGTCAATACTCTTATCAATATAGTCATAAAGAGAACAACAATACGCCTTTCCAGATGCAGACTGGAACCCATGTAAAAATCATAAATGACATTCTAATCCTTTTAATCGGATTTCTGAACCTACCCCACATTGGCCTTTTTCTTGGGAAACTCACTGCCGTATTAAATTTTATTAGAGGAGAGGGGTCAATTTAAATGCTACAGCAAAACAGATTTTACCATGCAACTTAAAGAAATGGATAGCAACAGTGCCTAATCAATTTTCTACTTCAAGTACCCAACACATGGGTGGCAGAAATTGTTATACAAAACTATAACATTTGATCTACATAACCTGGTTTTCTCAAGATGCCATAGTCTTTTGGCAGTGACACTCAAAAGTAATACTGGCAAATGTGTACAGCTTTAAAAAGGAATATTTTAATACTTGGAGACATACAGTAAAGCTGATCATTGGAGACCTAAGACACTAGAAATGCCCCAAAATGCCCTTTTCCATACATTGAGGTGGGAAAGTTACAAAAAAAGGCATATGGGAAGGTGACAGATTAAAAACTGTTTAGGGTGAATCTGACAGCTACCATAAACAAGGAATGTTGGGATTTGCCTTTGGCAAAATGAGTTCAAAAGGAATTTGTCATCTGTACATCCTGTGGAGCCCTGGTGAGGGGAAAGCACCTTGGAGAAGCCCTGATGAAGTTTTCTGAAGTGAGTAATTGGAAGATGACTCATATTACCAGAAGAATAAACATCTATACATAAGTCTTGAATCCTGAAAAAAAAAGTCTGTCCTATAATTAAAATAAGGGTAAAGATTGCCCATATCTAAGGTTTATATTCTTGTATTTCTGTTCCATTTGGTTCTCTGCACCAGAACTCAACAAGATGAGCCCAGTAAACTACATTATCATCTCCCTCCTTCTTTTCTTTTGCTACAAATGGACAAAATGTTATTTTCCTACTCTAATGACCCGAGTCCCATAATTCAGGAATCCTTTGTACAAAACTTCAAACTACGTAGAAAAATTCTGCCTTAGTCCTTTGTCTAACCTATCAAATTTGAGGCAGGTATTCCTGTCTGTGGACTTTAGAGAGGCATCAAAAATGAACTTATAATTGAAGTCAGCTGAAATCTAGGAGCACACCATAATAAGCATATTATACTATGGCAATAAACAACTTAAGTCTTCTTACACACAGTACCTGACACAGAATGGCTTCTCCTCCACGATCTCCATATGGCAGGTGAACAATGATCATATCTTTATCTGTATTATTTAAGTGACTCAACGACTTCACTGGGCTGAGATTTTCTTTAACCTCTTGCTCAAAAACACTGCCACTCGTCAGAAGGTTTAATTTAACTTCACTGTTATCTGCTTTATAGAACACTAATTCTTGGATGGTGTTCTTCAGTTCACTTTTGCTCCTTATCTGTATACTGTCAAATGTAAAAGAGGCAGAAAGCCCTAAAATCTTCCCACCTTTTGACAAGTAGGTCAGGAACTGTTTGTGATTGTCCTTCGAAATGGGTTCCTCTGTGGCAATAACCAACAACAACGAGTTATCAAGCCAGGGAGCTTTCAGAACTTGTTCCTCAACCAGCTGGTAGATGGTGTAGCTGTCTGTATCGATGCACTCCTTGAGCACTGATTTTATCTTCTCAAATTTGATTTTCATAGGGTCAGAGCCCACATAAATTAAGACATTGGGAGGCTTCCCAGTGAGGTTTATCCTTCTTAGTTCTCTTGCCAAACAGCCATCAGTAACTTCTTCCATGCTAGCACTGCAATCATCAGGAAGTTCTGGAATGTTTTCTGATGAAGCATATCTGACTGACTCAATGGTGCTGTTTTCAAGTTCAAAGCATTCGTGGCAGCTGGAAAGGTGCAGGTGGTGATGTTTACCAGTACTTGTCTCCCTTTCAGATAGGCTGTTAGGCTCATCATGAGGCTCACTTCTTTTCTCCAGCCTGGATTTCTCTTCTCTCACCTCCTGGTCACCTCCTCCTGAAGAATCAGCTGACACTGATCCTTGTTTAGTTGCAGTTGCAAATGGAGGAGCAGGGGTCAATTCATCCATGTGTGCGCTATTAGTGCTATTCTTCTCTTCTGTAGGTGCAGCCATCCGCTCTAGCTCCTTTAGAGCAGACTCCTGTAAATGGACAGCTGAGAGATTTCAAAAGAAAAGTTAAAAGCTGTATAAAAATAGCAACGTTGAATGTCACTACCCCTAGTATGCAATTTGGCGTTAGATTTAGTTTACTGATAAATCACTTAAACCAGTCGTTCTCAACCAGAGGTACGCATACCCCTGGGGGTACATGGAGGTCTTTTAGGGAGTACATCAACTCATCTAGACATTTGACTAGTTTTACAACAGGCTACATGAAAAGCACTAAAACTCAGTACAAACTAAAATTTCATACAGACAATGATGTGTTTATACTGTTCTATATACTTCACACGGAAATATAAATATAATATTTATATTCCAGTTGATGTAGTTTATAATTATATGGTAAAAATGAGAAAGTAAGCAATTTTTCAGTAATAGTGTGCTGTGACACTTTTGTACTTTGATGTCTGATTTTGTAAGCAAATAGTTTTTAAGTGAGGTGAAACTTGGGGGTATGCAAGACAAATCAGACTCCTGAAAGGGGTACAGAAGTCTGGAAAGGTTGAGAGCCACTGACTTACACTACTAAAAAGTTTCCTCTTTTTAGACACTAAAACCTACTTCTCCTGAAACAAAGAGAAAGTTTATTTTGTAAATCCCTAGGAGAGCGTATCTAGCAGTTAGAAAGCACTTAAGGCTCTTAAGCAAAGTAGGCAGTCATGGGATGAGAGGACCCCTAACTGGTCAAAGGATAGGAAATAAAAGGTAGGAATAAATAGTCAGTTTTCACAGTGGAGAGAAGTAAACAGCAGGGTGCCTGAGGATTTGTACTGGGAACTGTACTGTTCAACATTTTCATAAATGATCTGGAAAAGGGCGTAAAAAAATGAGGTGACAAAGTTTGCAGACAATATAAAATTACTCAAAATAGTTAAATCCAAAGCTGACAGCAAAGAGATACAAAGGGATCTGTGACATGCCAGGGTACAATCCAGACTAATGAGTAGCTGTGTCACCCCTGCCCTGTAACCTGTGTTGCCCTTTACTATGCCTTGCTGCTCACAAACAGCCTCCAGCATGTAGGCACTCCTAGCTATGTCTGTGGGTGCTGCAGCCAGCCAGCCACATCTTGGCACTTAGCAGCCTTAAAGTTTACCACCAGGTGACCACCACACACTCCCAGTCTCAGATTTCCCACCCAGAAATGTATGTCCCGTGCCTCCCAGTCCTCTCCTGGACAGGGCAAATATATTGAGTCCATTATTCCTTTAAGGGAATAACATGCACACACAACTTGTTACCTCACATGGAGTTACCCAGCTACTTTAATTTGAACAAACTGGATTAGATAAAGCAATAAAACCAGTTTATTAACTACAAGTAATGAGGCATAAAAGTCAGAAATGATTACAAGAAAAATAAAGATAAAATGCTTACTGGTATCTACTTAAGAAACTCTCTTACTTCGAAAGCAAACTTTTTCACCACATGCTCCAGCAGATTACTGACCAAACTCTCAGGAGAGGACCTCTTCCTCAGAGTCCAACCACTGTTCCTTTGTCTTCAGGTGCAGCAAATGCGAAGAATAGGGAGATAGAAGGGGATACCTTGGGGCGTTTGTCCCTTCCTTTTATAGTTTCAGTCCCCCTCTTGAAAAACATTTCCAGCTAAGTACCTGGAGCCAAAGCGTCTATGTGGAAGGATATTCCCTGCTGGCTTTTTCACCTGTTTGAACTTCCTTTGTCTTCCTTTCCTGCCTGATAACGCAGTTTACTGCTAAATGCAAATTAAGAAGAGTACACATTCCTATGTTTAGGAAAGACATGTTTTCTAAATTCTGTTTGAGCAGAGCAGTGGGATTTGGAACATGTGTTACCACCACCATGTAGGGAAATCTTATAACTTCCCATACAATATTGCCTCACATATTTTACCAGGACAATAATGACCAGAAAATGATGAGTTCTCAAATGATACCTTAACAAGGCATACTTTCTACAAAGACAATTACAGCAGAGTGTAGGGTGTGAATACAGGGGTGTATTTTGTCACAGGATCTCACAAAACTGGATGACTGGGCAAAAAAATGACAGATGAAATTCAATGTTGATAAATGCAAAGTAATGCATGCTGGAAAACACAATTCCAATTATACATACAAAATGATGGGGTCTATATTAGCTGTTACCACTCAAGAAAGTGTGACAGACCCAGACCAGTGGGGTACAGGAGTCTGGTAGAGAGCAAATATACTGGTCACTGGATGAGTAGTTTTCTGTTCCCTGAGTGACCAGAGCAGGGGCTGCACTAGAGTAATCAGGAACCTGCTAGTACCAGTTACGGCAGGCAGGCTAATTAGGACACCTGGAGTCAATTAAGAAGCAGCTACTAGAATCAATTAAGGCAGGCTAATCAGGGCACCTGGGCTTTAAAAAGGAGCTCACTTCAGTTTGTGGTGTGAGTGTGAGGAGCTGGGAGCAAGAGGCGCAAGGAGCTGAGAGTGAGAGGGTGTGCTGCTGGAAGACTGAGGAGCACAAGCGTTATCAGACACCAGGAGGAAGGTCCTGTGGTGAGACTACAGAAGGTGTTTGGAGGAGGCCATGGGGAAGTAGCCCAGGGAGTTGTAGCGGTCATGCAGCTGTTACAGGAGGCACTCTAGACAGCTGCAGTCCACAGAGCCCTGGGCTGGAACCCGGAGTAGAGGGCGGGCCCGGGTTCCCCCCAAACCTCCCAATTGACCTGGACTGTGGGTTGTTCCAGAGGGGAAGGTTTCTGGGCTGTTCCCCAACCCACATGGTGAATCTCTGAGGCAAGAAAATCCGCCAATAAGCGCAGGACCCACCAAAATAGAGGAGGAACCTTGTCACACTGGTGTTAAAGGTGGGATCTTGGGGTGCACAGCGCGGCGGAAGGAGGGTGATTTAAAAAACAAAAACAAAAAAACAAAAAAAAGGGAGAGGGTTTATTTTTTTTCCTACCACAATGGATGACGTAGTGCGGGCACTGATACATGGTACGGCGGCCCAGCAGGAGGCTACCCGTGTCCAGGCAGCCGCCCAACAGGAGGCAGTGCGGCTGCAGCAAGAGACTAATTGCCTGCTGATGGACCAGGCTGCTCAAGACCGAGCTATGTTGCGGGAACTGGTAAACCAGGTAAAGTCCCTTACAGAGCTGAATCGCGGCCATGATGGGACGCGGCTCATACGGGCCAGCCATTGGCTGCAGAAAATGACACGGGAGGATGATGTAGAGGCATACTTTCTGGCCTTTGAGAGGACAGCCCTACGGGAGGCCTGGCCTCGAGATCAGTGGTCTGGCATCCTTGCCCCATTCTTGTGTGGGGAGGCCCAGAAGGCCTACCATGATCTGCCTGAAGAGCCTGCGGCAGACTACCCCCAGCTGAAAGCAGAGATCCTGGCCAGATCTGGGGTAACGACAGCAGTGTGGGCCCAGCAGTATCACAGTTGGAGGTACCAGGAAGACAAAACCCCGCGGTCCCAATTGTATGACCTCATCCATCTCGCACGAAAGTGGTTGCAAACAGAGTCCCGGAGTCCGGAAGAGATACTAGCGGTTCTGGTCATCGACCGATACATGAGGGGACTACCACCAGACCTTCGTGCCTGGGTAAGCCAGAACTAACCCTCCACCTATGACGAGGTTGTCGCCCTGGTAGAGAGGCGAAGGACAGCGAGGGAGCTGACCCAACCAGTTAAGGAAGAGGCACCCCGGGTTAAACTAGCAGCACCAAGCCCTAAAGTTCGGGTGACTGGGCCACCAGGAGGGCCCAGGTGGAAAAAGAGAGAGGCTGAAGGCCCATCAGAGGCCACAAAGAGTCGGAGCACTGAGGGAGAAGAGGATCGTGGTGCTAGACTGCCCAAACCAAGAGACCGGGGAACGCCTAGGGCTCCATACAGATGTTATGCCTGCGGGGAGTGGAGACACATATTTGCACAGTGTCCCAATGCTGAGGAGCCTATGCAGTGTAACCTGGGGAACTGGGCAGATCCATGCTCCCTAATCCATCTTGTGGGGGTCTCACTAACCCCACATATGTACACCAGACCAGTGAAACTAAATGGGGTAGGGACCACGGCACTGGTTGATTCGGGGAGTGCTATCACGCTTATCTCAGGGAAGCTCATGAAGCGTAGTCAGCTGCTGCAGGCTAAACGTACGGGGATAACATGTGTCCATGGGACAGTTAGTTACCTACCCCACTATCCCAGTAAAAATCGAGATCCAAGGAACACTACTGAGGTAGCAGCAGGTGTAGTCCCTAAACTCCCACACCCGGTGCTCATAGGGAGGGACTTCCCAGGGTTTGGAAACTTACTCCCAGTAGGGGGATTGGAGAAAGATGGGGACCCTAAAATTGATGAGGCATCCACAGCAGACTGTCAACCCCCAATCTTCTCTGAAATATCCCCAGATTTGTTCTCCACTCCCAGACAGGGTAGAGAGACAAAAAGGGAAAGAAGGGCAGCTAAGGCCTTGGGAACCCGAATACTGACCCAAAGCCAGAGGGTCGCTCTTGAAGGTAGACGGACCCGCGCAGCTGAAAAGGAGGCCACACAGGAGGGAGAAGCACCTGAGTCTGAACCCCACCCTAATGCTTCTGAACCAGTAGAGGCAACAGAGACTGGGCCCCTAGATCTTGGGCAGATTAGCCCCGGGAGAGGAAATTTTGGACAGGACCAGGCAGAAGACCCAAGGTATGACAACATTAAGAAGGAGGTGACTGAAATAGATGGGGTCCCCGTGGAAGGGAAAACCCAGGGACCAGGACCCTACTTCATAATGAAGAAGGATCTCTTATACCGGGTTGCACCAGTACAGGGACAGAAGGTACAGCAGATCCTAGTACCTCAAAAACACCAGAACGCTGTATTAAGTCTTGCTCATAATCATCTTTTTGGGGGGCATTTGGGGGTAGAGAAGATCCTGGCACGAGTCCTACGACGGTTCTTCTGGCCCGGAGTACATGAAGAAGTGCGGAGGTACTGTGCCTCCTGCCCGGAGTGTCAGCTGCACAGTCCCCGTCCCCACT